TAAGAAGCGACATCTTCCATCTGAAGAGAGAAGGCGCGTGGCAAGCCTTCCGGTCCCCAAAGACCAGGAAAATGCCACCTCGCCTCCTCCGCAGAGGAGCCTTTGGGTCAGGTCAGTCTTTCCCCAGGTCCCTCCCCGACCCTAGACCAACACCCGGCCCTCAGCCAGCCGAGCCAAAATTTCCCGCCTGCTGCAACTCAAGCGGCTCCGCAAAGCAAGCCCTCCACGGCCAGGGCGCTGCGCGCGCACGCCTCCGCCCTCGCTCCCCGCCGGGACGCCACGCTCGTCGCGCCCCTCCTCCCCGTCGCTGAGCTCGCCCCGCCCCCCGTGCGCCCTGGGTCCCTCCCTGCGTCCCCGCCTCCCGCAACGGCCCCGCCCCCGCGCACGGGTTCTCTGTCACCGCCCCGGGCCGGGCGCGCGCGACTCTAACGCTGGGCAGCCGAGCCGAGGCCGGCGGGGCAGCATGGAGGCGGCGGCGCGGAAGAGGCAGCAGCCCGGAGCGGCGGGCGGCCCGGGCGCGCAGCCGGGCGCCTCCTTCCTGCAGGCCAGGTGGGCGCGCGGCGGCCGGGTGGGCGGGTCCGGGTGGGCCGGAGGGCGCCTCCGGAGTCGGTCTTGCCTGCGCTGCCCTTGCGGCCGCTCCCTCGGCCGAGCCCACCTCCGCGATCCTGCCTCTTCCTGCGGGCGCCCCGGCCCAATGCGGCTCCGCGTCCCGCGGCCGCGCTGGCTTTAGGACAGCCGCTCAGAGGCGGAGACCTCGCTGGGGACCCAGGAAACTCGAGGTGGGGCGACAGGCCCAGAGGCCACCTCCGCTCACTCGGGCCCCCAACGCACCTGCAAGCCCGGATGCCACCGCCAAGTTCTCGGGGCCCCTCCAACCCTGAATAAGAGACCCCCCCCCCCCCCCAGCCACGGAGCGAGGCGCCAGGGCAGTGTGGGAGGGGCCCCGCCATGCAGCCTGTGGGCTCCCTGATTGGCATATGCCCAGGGAGCAGGCCTCATCTTCCTGCCTCCCTGCTATCCCACCCTGGCCCCCCAGCGTGGGACAGGCTGGCAGGACAAGCGGCCTCACCCAAACAAGGCGTTTTGTAAACCATGGAGTGACACTGCATGGAATGGTGCAAGGACCCAGTACAGGGACCCGTGGAGAAGAGGGCCCGGGTGGAGGCTGGGGGGTGGGGCAGCTGGGGGGCCTCTGAGCCACCGGCCTCCCTCTTGCAGGTACATCCCCTTCTTCCTCATCCTCTTCATGTACTTCAGCGGCTGTTTCACTCCAGCCAAAGCCAAGAGCTCCATGCCAGGGGCGGCCCTGCTCCTGGTGGTGCCCAGTGGCCTGTACTACTGGTGAGTGGACATTGGTCCTGGGGTGGGGGAGGAGCAGGGGCTCTTAGTGAGCCAGGCAGTAAAAATGTGCTCTTGACCACCGAGCTGCTGGCTGACCCCAGTGAGGTGCTCCTTCTTGGGGCCCCTGCACCCTCCTCTGTCTAGTAGGGACTGTGACAGTGCCTTGTGGTGGCCTCTCTGTTACCAGGAAGCCAGGCCTGAGTGTGGCCTCTCCATTCTTATACTCCTCTGCCCTGTGCCCCACCTCTCAGAACCCCAGTGCCACCTTGGGGCCAAGAGTATCCGTCCCCAACACCAAGCCCTGTAGAGCCCCGTGGGCCTCAGTTTCCTCCTCTGAAATGGGGATGAGACCTTCTGATGAAACGGGGAAATGTCTCCTTCTGAGGAGGTGGTGAAACTCCAGGGTGAGAGAGGGGCTTTGTGAGCTGTAAAGCACCACGGAGACGCCAAGGACAGAGAAGGGGGGACTTCCATTCCCTGGCTCCTTTTCCCTCCAGCTCTCTGCCCATTACAGAGGACCAGGCTTCAGCCAGGTCTTACCCCTCCTCTGTCACTTTTGCTCCAGAGACAGGCTCCCCCCCAGGGATTGTGGGTGTCATAGGAAGGACTGCCCCTTCTCTGATAGGAAGCCTCTGTCAAAATGAAAAGGGTCCCCTTTCCTGGGGCCAGCTCCCGCCCACATGCAGGGTCTGTCCCCTGACTGCTGAGAGGGTCCACCAGGGCGAGTCTGATGGCCCCTGAGGACAGGATTAAAAGGAACAGGTGGCAACTACAGCAAGAGGGAAAGAGGTCAGACATGGAAAAAGCTTCCTAGCCAGTTCTCACCCGCAACGTGTTTGCGCAGTGATAGCTACAGTCGGAGCAGCAACCATTTGTTGAACAATATGTTTTTCCAAGTAAGAGTTGTATACAGCTCTTGTCTGTAATCTTGGGAAATAGTGCCATTTATGCCCCTTTATATTAAGAACACAGAGGCTCTGAGATGTCATGTAAATTCCCCAAGGTCACACAGCCACTAAGTTGCAGAGCTGTAGTTCCTTGAGTAGAACGGGTCAGCATTGTGGTTCTCTCTAGAGGCAGGGGAGTGGACCAGATAACCTCCCAGAAGCCCTCCAACAAGTGTTACTGAGTTCCTGGCCATGTGCTAGGTACAGCCTTAGGAACTGCAGGGAACCCTGGGAGATCTGAGACTGTGTCCCACCCTTCAAGGAGACAGCAATGACAACCCCCATAAATTGCAACTGCATTCCCAAACTCAAATGCCTATAGGAACCAAGCTGGTAAAAGAAATGCATCAAGCAGGTACCAAGCGAGGCAACAGGGAATGGTGGGGACTGTGGCAAACTGTAGAACAATGCTCTCTCTAAAGGGGGCAGCTGCATTCTCCTCTAATTGGTTGTTGTCATGCGGGAATACAAGCCTAATGTGACCAGAGAAACCAGAAATCCACATTTTCAGGTAATGTGTAATTTAAATATTAGCAACAAACTCAACACATTTAACACAGCTGCATATGGGCTGTGGCTCAGAGTGGTGTGTATCCCTGCGCCCTGCCATTAGATGAGCCGTTCTGACTGACTGGGAGGGCAGCCTGGTACTTGGGTAGAGGGAGGGATGCTGGGCAGGATGTGGCTGTCATGGCATCTACCTCCCCTCACCCACTGGCCTTTTCAGGTACCTGGTCACCGAGGGCCAGATCTTCATCCTCTTCATCTTCACCTTCTTCGCCATGCTGGCCCTGGTCCTGCACCAGAAGCGCAAGCGCCTCTTCCTAGACAGCAACGGCCTCTTCCTCTTCTACTCCTTTGCCCTCACCCTCCTGCTTGTGGCCCTCTGGGTTGCCTGGCTGTGGAATGACCCTGTACTCAGGAAAAAGTACCCCGGTGTCATCTACGTCCCTGAGCCCTGGGCCTTCTACACCCTCCACGTCAGCAGCCGACACTGAGTCCCTGGCACCAGCCACTGGTGCTCTGCCGGGCCGGAGATGGACCACAGAGGGCATCTGAGAATGCGTGTGCGTGCGTGTGTCTGTGTCCACTGACATGTGCAATCCATGACTGAGAACATGGGTGAGTGCATGGTGCACATGGATAGGTGTGTCTGTGTGTGTGTGGAGTGCCTCACCACGAGACTCGACTGTTCTGGTGCAGTTTCTCTTTGGTCTTGATCTTTTCAGGGTGGGCTTTAGTTTTCGGCAGTGTGTCCAGGCCAAGATCTGGGCCCTGCCCCGCTGTGCACCTGACTGGAGGTGGGGCCCTCTCCCTCCCACTGTTCAGGGCCGGTCTCTTGTTCCTGGGATGTCTTCTGGTAGCCGTGCAGGAGAGGCCTGGGTGGGGCAGAAGCTGGGAGGGGACTCGGCATGTCACCCACCACGTGGCTGGCCCCTCAGACCTGCCCTGACCCTGAAGGCTAGATTACCTAGGTTACGGCACCGTTATGTGTATTCTTGAGCAAAGCGTGGCCCCTCTCTGGGCCTCAGTTGCACTAGATGGGCCCTTGGTCCCAAAGTGGATCCGTGGGTTGGTCTCAGTCTCTTCTTGGGGCAGCTCTGGGATGGACAAGTAGTGCTATCTTGTCACTGCTCTCTCCTTCCCTGGGAGAGAGATGTGCACCCAAAACCCTCACGCAACCTCAGCCCCCATGGGGTGTTGGACCACCCTCACCCCGGGGAGCCAGAGGCCACCCCGTGCCCTAACCACCAGCTGATCGTGGGGTCTGGCGGTGGTTGCTCTCCAGCCATCTCCCTCTGCCAGGAGCTCTGTCAGCTCCTCTCCCTCCAGGAGAACTGTGGCACCGCCTTGCATCGGCCTGCCTGCAGGTTTCTGAGCCACAGCTGAAGCAGAGTTCTCAAACACTTGCACCGTTCCCAGAGCCGCATTCTAGGGTCGGCGGGGGGAGGGGGGGGCGCGTCCCGAAGGTCTCTCCAGTTGGCCTTGTCTCAGCCTGAATCTCCTGCTTGTTGCCAGTGGCGCTGCTCCTAGGAAAGGGAGGCCTCATTCCCAGCAGGACGCCCCCCACCTCACACCTTCTCCCAGGCACTGGGGCCAGGGCTCCTCACACAGCTGCGGGCCCCACAGCCTCCTTTCGAGCCAGCACTGGCCTATTTGTGCTCATGGGTCTCAGGCGGCCTGCCTTGCCCTCCCTGGACCCCTCCTCCTCTCCTGTGTTCTCAGGGAGCCCCGTGCCTCAGATTCTCCCTTCATGTTGGGGTCCCTCTGCAGCCCCCTTAGGGGTCCCCCAGCCCCTGGTCGGTCCCTGTCTGCTGGCAGCAACAGGTGGTGAGAGGTGTGAATAAAGGCATATGCAGCCAAGCCTGCCTGGGGACTGCTGCTTACTTTGGGTGTGAATTTGGGAAGGTGGGAGGTCCTTGGAGCAGGACAGAGAGTGGCTAGTCTGGGGTCCAGGCAGGAGTCCTGGGCAGACCCCAAGGGCCCACTCAGCCCCATCTGGCCGAGAGCCACTGCCCACTGGCCCTTCATAACAGTAGGATCCTGGAGTTGGGGGGAGTGGCAAGGAGGGCTCTTTTTAGAGGAGTCTGGGGGCTACAGGAGTTGGGGGGCCAAGCTAAGGCGTCTCCAGACCTGCCCTTGGAAGAGGTCACGTCGAGCCTCCCAGCTGTGCTGCCAGCCCCTTCCAGAGGCTGAAGCAGAGAGGGTGCCCTCTGGGGGAAGGTGGGGTGGCTGGTTTGTTGGAGGTTGGCACTCAGCCTTGGGTAACCACTTGATCCCTTAGGGCCTCTGCTATTGATATGCGTCTCAGCCTCACCAGAAGCCACCAGAGACTTACTCGGTGACTATTATCAGACAACACAGGAGGGGACAGGAGACACTTGCACTGTCATAGGCTGTGTGTCCCCACCTGCCCAGCAACATCATTTGATTCCTTCCCTACCTCGCAGCCACTGCTCCAAACCCCTGTGCTGGGCCCGTTCTCCACAGAACGACTTAATGGATGTCTTATGGGCAGAGGCGGGCCTGGTCGTGGGGGGCCTGAAGCTTATGAAATTTGGGGGGGCCTTGATAAGAAAACAGTAGAGCCAGCCCAGATGGCCTAGTGGTTAAAGTTCTGCACTCTCCACCTTGGCGGCCCGGGTTCATTTCTTGGTCATGGAACAAAACCACCCGTCTGTCAGTTGCCATGCTGTGGTGGCGGCTCACACAGAAGAACTAGAAGGACTTACAACTAGGATATACAACCATGCACTGGGGTTTGGGGAGAGAAAAAAAAGAAAAGGAAGATAGCAACAGAGGTTAACTCAGGGTGAGTATTTCCCTGCCAAAAAAAACTTAAAAAAGAAAACAGTCCAAAAAGATGAATAAAAAATTAGGTATGAAAGTGAATATTTACAATGGAAAAGAAATCACAGCAAATACAGCCTTGGAGATTTCCTTCCCTCTTGACCAAGACCCTTTTGGGTAGTTGCTGGAAATGTCTCCCCAGAAATACTTCTTAATTGCAACCTGGCTTCACCTCACAGCCAGTGGTTCTCAAAGTGTGGCCTCACTGGCAGCAGCAGGACCGCAGAGGAAAATGCAAATCCTCGTCCCCTTCCGCCTGCTGAATCAGAACCTCCAGGTGAACAAAGTCTCGGGCCCCGAGTGGTATCAGAGAGGGTGTTTTCTCACGTTGGGCTGACGCGTGGTGTACACAGCAGAGTGAGGCACACAGCTTGAGGGATTTTTGTACAGTGAACCTGACATCCCACCACCCCTGCAGGTGAGACCCCCTAAAAACACGAAGGAGGTGGCAAGCTGGGATGCCTTTGGGGGCACACAGCCCCAAACCCCAGCACACGCCAGCCTTTGCTGTCAGTAGCGTTTGAGTGGATTCCAGCTCTTAGCGACCCTGTGTATAGCAGAACAGAAGCCTGCCTGCTCCTTTTCTGCACCGTCCTCTCACCCCCCAGCACAATATCAGACGATGTTCTTCTGCTATTCATACGGTTTTGGTGGCCAATTTTTTTTCACAAGTGGGTGGCCAGGTCCTTCTTCCTAGTCTAGTCTGGAAGCTCCACTGTAATTTGTCCACCATGGGTGACCCTGCTGGTATTTGAAATGCCAGGGGCACAGCTTTCAGCAGCACAGCAACACATGGCTGCCACAGTGTGACAGCTGACAGACGGGTGGTGGGCTTCCCTGGCCAGGAAACGAACCTGGGCTGTGGTGGTGAGAGCGCCGAATCTTAACCACTAGACCACCAGGGCCGGCCACGTACTGATCCAAAGCCAAGGAAATAGCTTCTCTCGGGGCGGCTCCGTGGCCAAGTGGTTAAGTTCACGTGCTCTGCTGCAGCGGCCCAGGGTTCGGATCCTGGCCGTGGACATGGCACCGCTGGTCAGGCCACGTTGAGGCAGCGTCCCACATCCCACAACTAGAAGGATGTGCAACTAAGATATACAACTGTGTACAGGCGGGGGTTGGGGAGATAAAGCAGAAAAAAAAAAAAAAAAGATTGGCAACAGTTGTTAGCCCAGATGCCAATCTTAAGAAAGAAAAATAGCTTCTCTCCCCCTTGAGCCCCTCCCAAACACAGGGTGATTTGGAGCGGGAGCTTCGCCCTGGCTCCTCCCAGGTCCCCCACAAGCCTCACCTCTGCAGCCCCCACACTTCCGAGGCCCCGCCTGACTTTCCTTCACTTCTTCTCCCCCACGGCTGTGTGGAGAACCTCTCTTCCTCCCCTGTACCCTGGCCAGCCCTTCCTTTTCTCAGCCCCACGGAGAGGGCTCAGAATCCTCCGGCTGAAATTCTCTGGGTCTAGAAACAGGTATGAAGAGGTGACGCAGGAGACACGATTTGGGGGGGAAGAGAACCTTCCACGTGGAGGTGATCAGGAAAGGAGGGAGGCAGAATGGACCAAAGGCAGGCTCCGCCCGTCACGTGCCTTGTACAAATTAGCAAGAGGCCCCTTTTCCTCTGGGCACGTGCGGCCCCTCCCAGGACCCACGGGTCACCTGAGCCAGGAACCCTTGTGTAGGGCACAACCTGTGCGGCCATACAAGCCGGTCTTACCAAAGTGGGCGGAGCCTGGATTGGAGCCCCACAGACAAGGCGGTGAGCTGTGGACAGGGAGGTGGAGGGCGAGAACCCAGCGGGCCATGGCAGCAGCTCTAGGGAACGCCCCACCCTACCCTCACTTCCGGGGTCGGGAGGGCGCACAAACCACTGAGGAAACGGGAGGAGGCGGTTTCTGCGGAAGGGGTGGGGGCTGCGGTGGGGAGAACAGGGAGAGGAAGAGAAGGAGCCTTCCTGGCCCGGGAAAGAAACCTAAGAGGCCTCCCTGCAAGCCCCTGGGCAGCGGGCTGTGCGGCCTGAGACCCCGGCGCAGGCACCCACCCGACCCCCACCGCCACCCCCAGGGTCCCCGGAGGGGGCAGGGAATTGACACATGTTGAGAACCGACTGTGCGCTGGCCCTTTGATTCTCTCCACAGCCCTGTGATGAGGCCTGGCGAGGAAACTGAGGCTCAGAGCGGTGAAATGATGCCCCAAGGCCACTCAGCACACGGGCGTGAGGGGAAGGACTGAATCCAGCCTGTGAGCACCAAAGCCTGTGTCCCCACTACATACTGCACCCCAAGGCTTTGTCGGTGGAGGCCTCTGTCCCGGGGCCGTGCCCTGGCAGCGGGGTTTCCTTCCCAGCTGCAAGACGGTGTGTGATGAGCCTTTGATAAGACAGTGTGCAAAGGGCCCGACACATAGTAGGAGCTTGTCAGCTTTCCATCTTAGTCCCAGGAGAGAAAGAAAGGCCCCCTAAGGCCCAGGGCAGGGCCCAGGAGCAGCCCCGGCCCGGGCCCCCTTTCTCTGTGTCACCGATCTCCTCTCCGTGTCCACGGAGGGCTCCCAGGAAGGAACAAGGGCGCTAATCCGCTTGCTACAGAGCCTCAGCTTGCCGATGCAGGAGTGGTCCGGGGGGAGCCCTTCTGCAGCCCCGTTTTCTCAAACTCCAACCTGCTGCTTGGCCCAGGCGGTGGCCGGGCATCAGCTGTGCACGGAAGCTGGAATCTGACCCCTGGCGTTGGGCCTGGTCTCCATGGCAGCCGCGGATTTATTACTGGGGCCTCCACCCAGCTTGGCGGACTTTCGACTTGAAGCCGGGAGGAAGGGGAACCGGGAAGGCGCTTCTGGGAGCAGCGAGCCCAGGGTGGCAGCCAGAGGCTCCACGATGGTAATGGAGGGTCTGTGTCACCCCGCTCGGCTGACCCGGGATGGGGGAGGGAGGGGCGCCTTCACGAGGCCCTCCCTGACTGTTTTCCTCTCTCTGCTGCAGGCCAAGTTTCTTTCCCAGGACCAAATTAATGGTAGGTTGGGTTTGCTCCTTAATTAGCAACTCACAGCAAAATATGGGTCTCATTAGGCAATTTGCTCTGCTCGTTTTTTTTTGTTGGTGGGAAGGAGACGGCTGGTGGGAGAGCTGGGCCCACCCACAGGCAAGGGGCCGGCTCTGCGGGGGGAGGGAGTGGGGTAAGGCTCCGAGGTAGAAATGCTGGTATTACATGTGGCAGTGTGACTGACACATGATGGGGTGGGAGGTGAGAGGAGAGCTCGCTAAATTTTTCCTCCAGAACCTGACAGATGGATTTGGGGGCGGATGGGAATAGGAGATGGTGAGAGACACCATTAACTGGCTATGGCCAAGGGCCAAACAAAAGAAGGGAGCTTCGGGCTGAAATAGAGAGAAGAGCCCAGGTCTGCACCCCCAGGCGCGATACTTCTGCTCTCTGGGCCTCAGTCTCCCCATCTGTAAAGTGGGGGCATCAGCTTAAATGGTCTCTGAGGTCCCTCTGCCCTGACATCAAGCCTACTTTTGGTGTTCGGAACACTTTATTCCGAGTCCCCTAACCTGCTGGCTCCCAAGCAGGCTTCAGTTTCACACAGTGCATTGTTCTCTTTCCAAAGGCCAAGGGGAAAGAACTGGGTTACCCAGAACTCAGGGGCCCTGCTCTGGACCAGGGGAGGCTCAACAGAGCCCAGGTGGGCTCAGGGTTACTTGGGCAGGGATTCCAGAGTTCTCGGCACCCAGAGCTTTGTCTAGAAGGGAGAGTAGGTGAGCGAGTTGCAGGCTCCAGGTGGGCACCTCTGCATAGACCCCTTGATATCCTCACGCCAAGAGGAGGGCCAGAGCAGGGACGTTTAAAACACCAGGCCTAGGGTAGGGGCCTCTCCTGCCCAGGTCTCAAGGCAGGACTGAGTGGGTCTCAGGGCTGGAGTCTACCTGTCAGCCTCAGTGTCCCCCAACCCACGCCTGGTTCTGAGGTCCCCTGGCCCTCCCTCCTGGGGCCCCTGAAGACCTCGGAAGGGAAGAAGGTAAGCATCCCTTTGTATCCCAGTATCTGACATCAAGAAAGTGGCTGATGAAGGACTGGGCAGGGGCGGCCTGCTCGAGTGGGAAGAACAGGGGCCTCAGAGGCCGCGGGCCTGGGATCCACTCACCCTGAGCCTCAGTTTTCTCATCTGTCAAGTGGGGGTGACACTCCCTCCCCAGGCTGTTGTGAGCAAGGGACAAAGAGGGTGATGTCAGTCATGCACCTGACTCTGGGTCATGGAGCTCTGTGCTGGGGCCAGCCTGCTCTAGCTAGCGCCAGCCCAGTGGTACAGTTTTAGGAATTTTGCGAGCTGATTGTTAAAATTAGTCATTATTACATAACATAAAATCAAACAATATTCCAATCCTGCATCTATACAAAAAAAAAAAAGTCCTATTGCAATCAGCAGTGCTGAAGATTTTAAAGAGGCTTTGGTTTAATGAATATAATTTGTACAAGGGTGAGAAATAGTTTAACAGAAGATCACTTATGAGATTTAATTACAATATTCATTCATTAGGAAAAGAGGTGCATTCTTTGGCATGCAACGTCATTGGGCAAATCATGATTGAATCAAAACTATAGGTTGGCGGGCTGGCCCGGTGGCGCAGTGGTTAAGTTCGCATGTTCTGCTTCCAAGGCCCAGGGTTCGTGGGTTCGGATGCCGAGTGTGGACCTATACACCGCTTGTCAAGCCATGCTGTGGCAGGCGTCCCACATATAAAGTAGAGGAAGATGGGCACAGATGTTCGCTCAGGGCCAGTCTTCCTCAGCAAAAAGAGGAGGATTGGCAACAGATGTTAGCTCAGGACTAATCTTCCTAAAAAAAAAAAAGAAAATTGAAAACTGTAGGTTGGCAACAGATACAACTCGCTTGTGATCATCAATTGGCTAGATGGAATTTATAATGCAGACTATTGCATATTTTATTATTATTTGTGAATTGTGTGCTACACATCCCTTATGTCTATAAAATTTATAATAAACTCATATACATGTGTCATCAGAGCCAGGTGTTAAACCTTCGACAGCCCATTATCCCAGGCCCCAGGGAGAGCTCTTTCTTGCCCCGGAGTATTTGCATCTTGAAAGGGAAGACCTAGCAAGAATTTTTTTTTTTTATCATTTTTTTTAAATTAAGGTTATAAAAGTTAACATCCTTGTGAAATTACAGTTGTACATCATTATTAGTCATGTTGTAGGTACACCACTTCACCCCTAGTGCCCTCCCCCCATCCTCTTTTCCCCTGGCAACCACCGATCAGTTCTCTTTGTCCATATGCTAACTACCACCTATGAGTCGAGTCATACAGAGTTCGTCTTTCTCTCTCTGGCTTATTTCACTCAACATAATACCCTCAAGGTCCATCCATGTTGTTGTGAGTGGGACGACTTTGTCCTTTTTTATAGCTGAGTAGTATTCCATTGTATATATATACCACATCTTCTTTATCCAATCATCAGTTGCTGGGCACTTAGGTTGGTTCCATGACTTGGCTATTGTGAATAATGCTGCAATGAACATAGGGGTGCATGGAACTTTTGGAATTGCTAATTTCAGGTTCTTAGGATAGATTCCCAGTAGTGGGATGGCTGGGTCATAAGGTATTTCTATTCTTAACTTTTTGAGGAATCTCCATACTGTTTTCCATAGTGGCTGCCCCAGTTTGCATTCCCACCAACAGTGTATGAGGGTTCCCTTTTCTCCACAGCCTCTCCAACATTTGTCACTCTTGGTTTTGGATATTTTTGCCATTCTAACAGATGTAAGGTGATATCTTAGTGTAGTTTTGATTTGCATTTCCCTGATGATTAGTGATGATGAGCATCTTTTCATGTGTCTATTGGCCATCCGTATATCTTCTTTGGAGAAATGTCTGTTCATGTCCCCTGCCCATTTTGTAATTGGGTTATTTGATTTCTTATTGTTGAGTTGTGTGAGTTCTTTGTATATTACGGAGATTAACCCTTTGTCGGATAAATAACTTGTGAATATTTTTTCCCAATTAGTGGGCTGTTTTTTTGTTTCAATCCTGTTTTCCCTTGCCTTGAAGAAGCTCTTTAGCCTGATGAAGTCCCATTTGTTTATTCTTTCTATTGTTTCCCTCGTGAGGGGTTATGGTGTCTGAAAAGATTCTTTTGAAGCTGATGTGATGGTGCAAAGAGTGTGCTGCAGATATTCTCTTCTAGCAGACTTATTGTTTCAGGCCTAATCTTTAGGTCTTTGATCCATTTTGAGTTTATTTTAGTAAATGGTGAAAAAGAATGGTTGATTTTCATTCTTTTACATGTGGCTGTCCAGTTATCCCAGCACCATTTGTTGAAGAGACTTTCTTTTCTCCATTGTAGGCCCTCAGCTCCTTTGCTGAAGATTAGCTGTCCATAGATGTGTGGTTTTATTTCTGGGCTTTCAATTCTGTTCCATTGATCTCTGCATCTGTTTTTGTACCAGTACCATCTAGCAAGAATTTTTAATCCAATTCATTTAACCCAATTTATTCTGTCATTCAACAAATCTATGAGTCCTTTCTTCCTGCCAGCCCAGTTCTAGGCATTCAGGATGCAGCAGAGAACACAATAGCCAAATCCCGGCCCTCTTGGGGGGGTCACATTCCAGGGAGGGGAGCAACAAAGGAAAGCAGTAAAATATATAGGATGCTAGATGGCCGACCTATCAGGAGAGAAGGCCGGAAGGGGACAGGAGGTGTGCGGGGCTGGGCGGATGGAGAGAACAGCCCAGTCTTCTGTTCCAGCGCTGGAATCCCAAGTTCAGATCTGGCCGCCCAGGACCCTAAATGGTGTGTTTGTCAGGTAGGAAGACACAGTGTGCTCTATGTAGCAGCTCGTTAGGAAGTGGCCCTCCGTTTGACCCCGGCCCTGCTGATGTCAGAGGCCATGCGCCCCAGGTCCTGATGGGGCACGTGGGAGGGGGCAGTTTGCCCACCTGTAGTTCCAGGCCCCCAGGGTGGGATGGCCACCTTCTAGCACAACCGTCACAGGACAAGGCCTCAGGAGGGCAGTGGGCCCACTCCTCGCCCAGGCGCAAACCCAGACAGGAGACAAGGTGGGGTACCCTTGAGAGGTCCCCAGGAGGGACACAGTGGGGGAGAGCTGAGTTTAAGCCCTGCATGCACAGTGGCCCCCCTCTGTCCCCCTGATGTCAGGTGATGGCTCCGCTGGTGCTGGTTCCTCTTGGAAAGAATTGGGTTTTGCAGAAACCAAAGTGGGGTCTTAGGCCAGGCCCTGACCTGCTGACCCTGGGCCACTCCAGCCCCTGCCACTGGGTCCTGTCTGTGGTCTGCCCCTCCTGAAGCCCAGGCTCTGGATTCTTTGAAACTAGAAGGGGGAGGGTCTTCCCCTTCAAACTCTCCACCAGCACAAAGGCAGCAAATTGTCTCTAAACCCCATTGGGCCGGCTGGCCTTTTGTTTCTTGGTGAAGAAGATTGTCTCTAAGCTAACATCTATGCCAGTCTTCCACTATTTTGTATGTGGGGTGCTGCCACAGCATGGCTTGATGAGCAGTGCATAGGTCTGCACCCGGGATCCAAACCCGTAAACCCTGGGCGATGGAAGCTGAGCACACAAAACAAACCACTATGCCATTGGGCCAGCCCTGGCCGACTTTTTATTAGCAACCCCCCTGCACTCCTAGGCTGCCAGGAGAGGCCTTGTCTAGGGAATAGGAAGGGGCCCTAGGCCTGGTTTGGGGGGCAGGGGGTCGTTGGGGGTTTCCTCCCTCCCTTCACCCACTCTGCTGCCCTCTGCCTGGGAATCGAGGATCCAGTGTGGCCTTGGGCAGAGCTCGCCTCAGGAGCAAGGCTGCCCAGGGGAGGTGCTCAGCTGCCTCAGCCCTCACTGCCTCATCTGCACAATGGGAACAATAAAGGGACACAGCAGAGGGCACTCAAGATTACACAAGGGCCTGGGGCAAAGTGCTCAGTAGTGTGAGCTGTCCTTGTTGTTTTTGTTGTTGTTATGAGCTAAGGGGCTGCTGGTCCAGGCCTCTGAGGAACCACCTTGGTGGTGTGAGAAGCAGCAGAGAGCAGGGTGCTGAGACGCCCCCGTGCAGGCCCCGCAGGTCTCCAGGTGGGACTCAAGCAGCAGCTCCACCCTGTGGGCCTCGGGGACTAAAGGAGAGTCACCCGGGAGCTTTTGACCTGTTCTGATGGCAGCCCCACCCTGGTCAGACTCTCTGGGTGGGTGTCGGGGGGGGGGCATTTCATCTCCACCAAGGGAGAAAGGGTTTGGGAGACCAGCAAGCCAGATCCCATCAGAGCACAGTACCCCTTGATGTCCCCGAGGACAGGCCAGGCCTTGTGTCAGAGGGCAGCTTGAGAGTTCAGCAGCCTGCAGGCTAGGGGCTGGAGCAATGGACTGAGAAGTGCCCGCAGTTGTGATAATAACTGTCACCACATACGAGAGCCACTCTCTGCCACGTCCTCCCAGAGGGGATTTCTGGTCCTCTCAGTAACCCAGGGGCATTATTATTCCCCTTTTCCACATAAATGGTCTTTGCTAAAGTCCCCTGGGCATCTGGTCTCCCTGGCCTGAGAGAGCCTTCCTGTGGTTTTCCTCGGTTGTGGGAGGGGAGAGAAGGGAGAGAAAGAGAAGGAAGGAGGAAGGAGCAGGAAGGGGGAGAGAGAGGGAGGAGGCAAGGGGAATAGGGTTGCTAGAGGAAATACAGGGCACCCAGTTAAATCTGAATTCCAGATACACACAAATACTTTTTTTTGATAAGTATATCCCAGGCAAAATTTTGGACATACTTATACTAAAAACGTATTCATTGTTTATCTGAAATTCAATTTAAATTGGCAGTTCTGTATTTTTATTTGCCAAATCTGGCAAGCCTAGGAGGGAGGAGGAGAGGCGGAGGGAGCAGAGGGAGGAGGGAGAGGTCTGGGCCGGTGGCGCGCGGGTGGAGAGCGAATGATTCTCCCAATTCTCCCTCTGGGCCGTGCAGACTACAAGGAATGCTTCTCCCTGTACGACAAGCAGCAGCGGGGCAAGATAAAAGCCACTGACCTCCTGCTGGTGATGCGGTGCCTGGGGGCCAGCCCGACGCCGGGGGAGGTGCAGCGGCACCTGCAGACGCACGAGCTGGGTGAGTGCGCCGGCGGGCGGGCGCGGAGCCCGGCGCTGGGGAAGCAGCCGCCTGGGCTGGTGGGTGGGCCCGGAGCCGGCAGCTGTGGTCCTGCCCAGGGGCCCAGCCGTGGGGTGTGAAGAGCTGGGAAGTTTGAGGAGTGTGCAGAGCTCACTGGCTCGTGCATCGCTCGGCTGCCTTGAGTCCTCACAGCGATCGCTGACACCCCCTCTCCCAGAGGACCCTGGGGTCGCGGCATTCCACGAGGTTAGCGCAAACCCGCGGTGAAGGCAGTGCCCACGGCCATCCCCGTGTTGTTCCGACAGAACAGTTTCCCTGGATGGAGGATTTGTCCTGTGCTTGGCTCAACCCCTATGAAGTAGGCGCTATCCGAGTCCCTGCTTACAGGTAGAGGTCAAGGTTCAGAGTCGTTAGGTACCTGGCCCGAGTGCTTAATTAAGCCAGTGGAACTCAATTCTTCTAATTTCAAAGACTGACCTAAAAACGACACGATACTCTGAGAAAAAATGTGGAGGGAAACCCACCCAAAACTTCCCAAGAGGTTCTCTCTGGTCGTGGGGTTATGGGTGATTTTCATTCCCTTTATTGTTGTTTCCTGTTTTTGACAAGGGGAATATATAGGACTTTTATAACCAGAAACAAACAAGTTGTGTGTTTTTTTTTGAGAAGAAAAAGGGAGGGGTGTCAGAGGCTGCGGTGGCTGTTTGCATTGGTAGCTTAGGAAGGAAAGACGGGCCCAGAGGAAGGGGGCAGCCTGGAAAGAGCAATTGACCTGGAGCCCAGAGGCGACTTCTCAGTCTCTGGACCTCAGTTTCCTCCTCTCGGATGGGTCCACCACCTGCCAGGGTTGTCCTGAGGTCCCGTCAGAGTGAGCCTGCAGCAGTGCTGGGAGCCGCTCCTGGCGCAGGCCTGGCGGGCTGGGGCGGGCCTCCGGAGTCTGGAGCCCGCTGGTGGGGCGTTCAGCAACTGAGATCCCCGCTTCCAGCTGCGAAGGGGTGGTGGTTTCCTTTGGTTTCTGTCTCCTCCAAACAGGAAGTTGTGGTCAGGGGAAGCTCTTTCCTGCAGTTGTAGCCTGGCCAGGTCCCCAGGCTAGCTCGGAGGAGGGGCACAGACTGGGCAGCCTAGGGTGGAGGCTGCAGTGAGGGGAAAGACAGGTGAACAGCCCAGCTGGGACTGGCGCTGGAGGCCCCCAGTGGGGTCACCCGTTTATCTTGGTGGATGTGCTGCAGTGGCCGCCAAGGGCGATGGACACAAAGATGTACTTCCCTCTAATTCAGGGCAGGAGAGAAGCAGCCAGAAGAGAGCAGAGGAGGTGGTTCTCCATCCTGATCTGACCACTCTCTGTGAAATGACTCCACACTCTGAGCTGCTGCCTCCTTCGTGGGCAAAATGAGATGATGGTCTCTGAGGATTGTTGGGAGGATTAAATGAAGTGTATCCGTGGTGGGAACTCAGAGGGCTGCAGCCTCTTCACCATGACCTGTGCCACCATCATGGCGCCTCTTGAATTAGGTGGCCTTTGAGCTGGTCATGAAGGCTTGGGCAGAAGGCCAGTTGGCTTCCCCAAGCAGAGCCTTTTCCTCCCTGCTCACTCTGCTGTGTTTGGGGGTTTCCTAGACAGAAATGGAGAGCTGGATTTCTCCACTTTCCTGACCATTATGCACATGCAAATCAAACAAGAGGACCCAAAGAAAGAAATTCTATTGGCCATGTTGATGGCAGACAAGGAGAAGAAAGGCTACATCATGGCGTCCGAGCTGCGGTCAAAACTCATGCAACTTGGGGAGAAGCTCACCCACAAGGAAGGTAATGGCATGGGTCCATCTATCCCAGTAGCAGGAGAGGATTAGGGAGTTGGGGGGAGGACAGCAAAGCCCAATCCATGCCACTAGGATTGTGCAGATACCACATTTGATGCGTGCTCTGGAGGCTGCAACTGGATGTCGGTTGAGGTGGGTGAACTCTGGACTGGAGCCAGGGGGGAGAACTAAGGGGCTTTGGGGTTGGCTGACAGTGGAGAAGTCAGCAGGGAGAAGGAACGGCCTGGGGAAACCCAGCTAGGGTCCACTTGGGCATCACTCTGTTTAAACTTTCACTGTGGGCCAACATTTAGTGCTTATGGCACCCCTGGGAGCACTAGTGCCCCCCTTATACTGGTAAACAAACAGGTGAAGTGTGGGGCTTACAAGTAGTCATGCTAGGAGCCGAATGCAGGTCAGTTAGACACTTGCCCGCCCCTAGCCCATCTCAGGCTCATCTCCTCCCCACAACTGTCTTCTGAATTTGCTGCTGATGCCAAGAGTTTCCAAACTCAGGTGCTACATTGGCCCCTTTCCTCATGGCTCAGCCAGCACTAGGAGCTCTTCCAGAAGGGGTGTCCATGGTGGCCTTTGCCGGGACTGCTGGTCACAGAACCCTACCAGGGGGCCTTTGTCTCGCACCTTCCAGCAGCCCAGCATGCCTTCCTGCCTCAGAGCAGGACCAGCAGCCTGGGTCTTCTGGGAAAGCCCTTTATACATGGGAAAGGGCGACCTCAGTGCTGGGCCATTTGCCGGTGTTCTTCCAGCCTGCCTGGCTAACCGGTTCCTCGGCCCTGCCCCAGCTGCCGCAAGTTGCTGCCGGAGTCCACACCCACCAACCCAAGAGGCCGGGATTTCTAGTTAGGCCCCTGGGCTTGTCTGTAGTTGGGATGGGAGGGCTGGTGTAGGACATAAGTGGGTGGAGGAAAAAGGCTTCAATGATGATGGGCCTTTAGCCTTGGGTTAAGTCACAACAGATCAGTGGAGAGGTTACAAGGTTGTGGTTTGAATTAGACTTGAATCCTGGCTCCCCCTCCTTCTGGGGGCCCTCAGATGAGTTTCTTAACCTCTCTCACCCTCCTCAGTTTTCTCCTTGGGAAATGAGGTTACAGCAGACAATCGCTCAGGTCCCTCCAAGAGCTAACATTCTATGAAGCAGTCTGCTTGGACTTTATCTGCAGTCACAAAGGCACAGCGCAAAGCATTTACAAACAGCGCTCCAGAAGGCAGATGCCACGCGCTCTCCCCACTGTTTCAGGCTAGCAGCTCTCACCAGCTCAGCTTTCACCGTGGCTGCTTTACGTGAATGGGGAAACAGGCTCTCCTTCCCTCCCAGACTCTGAGGACACCGCTTGGCCTTTTATGTACCAGGTGGAGAGTTAGCTGAGAGGGCCAGCTGGGGCCTTCGTTCTTACAGTTAATGATCTCTGGCTAAAGCAATACCACAGCCCCTAAACCCACGCATCTCTCATTTGTTTAACCATTAAAGAAACTAGCAATGTGTCCCAGACAGGCAGGGAGGCCGATTTCCCTTCCTCTTGCTGTGGGAGACAGAAAGATGATACTAGAAGTAGGAATCCTTTACCTTGGGTGATTGAAAGAAAACCTTTAATTTTATTACAAAGCATCCTTGGAGCAGCTGGAGACGGCTGCTGGGGAAGGCCTCCCTTCCGAGGCCTGGGAAAGGCTGACTTTTGCAGCCCGGTCCTTTATGGGTTCACAGAGGGAAGTGCCGTTCTACCCGGAAGCCATCATCAGGACCCAGCACCGGGCTAAGAGGTGCTGCCCCTCTTCTGGACCGGAGGAGGCTGCAGTGGTTGGCACTGGAGCGGGCATTGGACCTGTCCACAGGGACAGTTTTAATCAAGTGGCTGTGGGTAGAAGCTTCCCCGTGAAATAAGACAAATTACAGTCTCCTCCACCTTCTAAAAAGACTCAGAACTGCCATCAGCTCAGGCACGGAGTACAGGAATTGCATTCAGAGGACGGTGAAGCAGAGACTCACGGGGTATTCTCCAACTGCCCAGAATTATGTGTTGATGTCCAGGGGCAGCGAGGTTAACACAGGGCTGTGAGACGGTTTTGCATGACAGCGAGGATGGTCCAAAGACCCAAAGATGGGTTGGCCCCGAGGGGCCACTGTGGAGATGTGTGAGCTGAGAAGGCTTTTCCTGCCAACGCCTGGGACAAGCTAGTATTTTGTCTCAGGAATCCAGAACCAGAAGAAACAAGCAAATGTGATTTTTCTTGAGCAATGTCAGAGAACAATGGCAGTTTTGTACACTTTAACTTTAGACAGAGTTGAATTTATTTTCTCTCATACTACCTCCACTCCCAAAACAAACACTTTGAAAAAAAGAGGTGATGGTGGCAGACACCACTTGTCGCTAAGTCCCCTCTTGGGGTGGGGGTGGTAGGGAATGCCGAAGTGGGGAGGAAGGCAGGCCGGCCAGGGCAGGCCAAGCCTGGGCTGGTGGAGGGTGTCTGCCTGCCGTGAGGCTGAGAGGGTGGGCTGTGGAAGGCAAAATCCATGCCAAAGGTTTCTGGAAGTATAGGCACAGGGATCAGATATTTTCTACAAAACAAAGCAAAACAAAGCACAAGGTGGCTGCAGTGACTGAATGCTCCTCACCAGTACCTGCCCCAGCCCCTGCAGAAAGCCCGATTAACTCAAAATGGAATCCGGGGTCTCCAAGGGGGAAGGGGAATTGTCCTGTTCCATTCACTGCTTTACCTCCCCGTCTACGGGAACAGTCCACGGGACAGTCAGGGAAGACCTCTGGAGAGCCCCAGCCCCTAAGAACTTGATGTCCTGTACCGTAACACTAAAGCCAAACTGAAAAATTCATGTGATTTATTGCAGTCGATGAGCTTTTCCGCGAAGCAAATATCGAACCAAATGGCAAAGTGAAGTATGATGAATTTATCCGGAAGATCACGATTCCTGTGCGGGACTACTGAATGAAGAGAACACAGGAGGGCCTCCTGGGCCTGGAAATGCAGACTGATTGATTTTTAAAAAGGAAAGGGTTCCTTACACTCTAGGGAGATGGCAAACACAGCAGCAAGATGACATTACCCGACTGTGGCAGAGAACTCAGCAATGAAAAGAAATGATTTCAGCCATGGTGTTAGCATGTCTTTAATAAAAGATTTGTATTGATGTTAGTAAGTACATTGGTTGAGCCCTTTACAGCTGGAAAGAGCCTATGATTTGGAGTCGGGCCTGGGTTCCAAGTCCTGACTATTTCCCAGCTATGTGACTGGGCAAGTCACTTCACCCCTCAAAGCCTCAGGATCCTCACTAACGTTGGAGTCCTACTTCTTACCTCACGGAGCCTGTTGAGGATGGTCTTATATAATGACTTGAAAAGGCCTTTGCAAACTGTAGAGCACTGTTCAATCCTGAGTTGCCATGGTAGTGCTTCTCCTAAAAAGGGCAAGCTACCAAAAGACTATACAGTCACGTGTTGCTTAACGACAAGGATAGTTCTGAGAAATGCGTCGTTGAGCGATTCCGTCGTCGTGCAAACATCATAGAGTGCACTTACACAAACCTAAATGGTATTGTCTCCTACACACCAAGGCTATATGGTACTAATTTTATGGGACCACTGTCACATATGCGGTCCATCGTTGACTGAAATGTCATTATGCAGTGCATGACTATATTCCGTATCTGGGTGCTAGAACCATCTTCCACATTTCCAAGATAAAGCCAGTGCCAGCTGAGAAATAGCAACAAGCAAACAGCTAAAACATCAAAAAACAAAAAACTATGGCAACATTTCTTGCAGCACAGGGCCACTTAAATTCTCATTCCCATCTCAACACATGGTAACATAGTTCAGGATATTCATAAAGAGTATAGGGTGAAAACACTCAAGTTAAAACAAGGCAGCATCAGTTAAGCAGCGGGAAGAGTGATCTGCCTTTACAGCCCACACCGAAGGAAAGCAGATGTGACACGTTGCATTCGGTGAGGCCTTGCAGAGCTTGAGAAGGCCCTTTCTGATGCTCCTGGCAGAATTTTGAACTCTCCACTGGCCTATTATCAGAGAGGCTCATGAGACTGGATGGTCTTCTCAAGTGGGTCAAATTGCTCGTGGCTTCAAGCCATTTCCCCTGGACTAATGGAAAGTAATAAGGGATCTAACAGGCCATGGCCACGATACAGCAAGAGCCCTGGAAAACAGTAGAAGGGGTATTGGTCTTGCTGGGAGCTCTTGCAGCTCAAGTGGCTTTTTAAGTGAGTTATGTAGCCAAGAGGTGCCAGGCTGGTGCTGCCTGTGCGCTCATCAAATTTGTGGATCCATTGGCAGTGTTAGCACAGCCCTAAAAAGGGCCGGAGTCACACATCAGCATGTTGGGGAAGGGGAGGGGCAGGGCAGAACTCTAAGTAGAGATTTTCATCCTTATATGTATCAAAATTGGGCTCTCTGGGCTGTGGCTTTGTCTAATGGTGCCTTAGCGGCTAAAGCAAAAGAAAACCAAATTAAGGGGGTGGTGTGTCTTTTGGGAGGTTATACAAGACACAAATCTAAGGGCTAGGCACAGGGGAAACTGCAGGGGACAAAACAGTCAGTTTTTAGGCAACTATCTCAGGATGCCATGTGGCTTCTGATCAAACTGAGGTCCTGAGAAAGGAGAGCTCATTTTCCCAACAGTGTAAATGGTCAGTGGGGGTGAGCAGGAATTCCTAGGAGCTATGGAGGAGGGTTTTGTCGGGGGCAGGCAGTAAATGGCCCTAACACCAGCTGGGTGAAGTCTTGGGGAGCCTAGGTTCACACAGGGCAGGGGCAGATAGATCCCAGTTTTGTGGGGTCTGAGGTTTCTGCGACTCGGTAGCCTTCTTTAAAAATACAAAAATAGAAATACACGATTGCTAGGGCTGCTCCCAAGACCCTGGAAGAGGCCAGAGCAAGTGAGGGGCCCTGGTCTTAAACTTCATTACGTTCATGGTAAATGGACCTGCGTCCTGCTTGGATGTTGGCACCCTGAGAACTGCTGTATTTCACTTTCAGGCAAAGCTCCCACGTCTAGCCCCACCTCTCTTTTTAACTCATCATGGACATTAGGAAGCAAGTCCTGCACAGCCAATCTGGAATACCAAGGATTAGACAGCAGACACCTGGGATTTAGATGGGACAGGAAAAGGAAGTTCTGGGCTATAATAAATGAGGCTGCTTTCCCTCAAAGGCTTTTTTTGTCTTTGTCACTGAATGGTCCCAGTATAGTTTTAAAGCAAGTTTTATTAATCTCATTTGCCTAACAGGAGTGTGAAGTATAGCTTGCCAAACACACGTAAGCGCTGTGGAGTGCTCATTAGAGCCTGGAGCGCCTCTCCACGGACTCAGTGTTTCTCATTAAGGGTGTTCGGTGGCTAGGATCCTAAGATCCGACGACGTGTTCTTATTTAAACCTCTACCCCAGGAAAGGCTTTTGCACTACCCCAGGAAAGGCTTTTGCACTACCCCACGTCCAGATTTCATGCTCATTCCTGAAATTCCAATTGGTTCATCTAGCACCTAGTATTGTTTACAAAAAAGGCCACAGTGCTCTTAGTACTCAAATTGCAGATTATTAAAGAGATTTAAAACTAAACAGATACTGTGGTTCATTACAAAGCTGGCCGTATTTCCATAAGAAAGGGGAATGATGGCTGTATACTCATTACTTACCTCAAAGCATGTTGCAAGACAATTAGTTACTTGTCATGCTTTGAAATCTCTGGATCAAAGGTGCTTTGGAAGCACAGAGCATTATCACTTCTCACAGGGACTGTCCCCTGGTATACCCGGCAGTATATTTTACAGAAGACAAATTAACTGAAGGCTTTTCTTTTATTACATCTAAAGAGCTCTACATAAACAGGTAACATTCAATAGGTAAACAATTTTTTTTCCAATGCATGTAATAAATATTTTCACTTGGTACTTTTATACAAACTGACATCGGTCTACTATACATTTTTAAAAGCCATTTTACTGGTTTGGCATGCGGTATGGAAATTCTAAGAGAGAAAGTTTTAAGGCAATGAATCACAGATTTAAGTTCATGGAATTTATGGTAACTTTTATATCTGTTTATATACATTTCCCCCTTTGTTAATTGAACAATTAACAGCAGCGCACTCTGGGACCCCCAGCTATTCTCCCTCCCTCTTTCTGAAATCTAAGCTTTGTGGTTTTTTAAATTAAAAAACAGAATTCGACAGGTATTGATAAAACAAAATTCTCACTAAAATAATTTCAAATGTGCTTTAAAGTCCTGAAGATCTTGAAGTGTTTTATGTATTTAAAACTGGAATTGTTTAAAAACAATGCTCTTTCCACAATTAATCATTTAAAATTGGGACATATTTTCATTCAATTTCAGATATTTGACTCAAAGGAATCTGCCAAGAAATCACATTTTTCAGAAGCTTAAGTGAATCTTTCCTAAGTCAGTAATAATTAAGAATTGTGATAATGTCTAAACTAATAGAAGTAGAAAAATTTTAATGCTCAAAACAAATTAGTCAACCAAGTGTGGCATGGTTAAGGTTCAGATTGTTTTAAAAAGATGTGTCCAATAATGCCCACAAAATAATTGAAAGCCACTTCAACCCTGCTACTCAAACAGCTATTTTATCAAGGATGTATGTGTGCGTAGCATATACATATATACACGCACATACACATACAGTACTGTACAGAAACACAAACATATGCACATCTATTATGAAAGACCAAGGCAAGGGGGATGGTGGCAAGCTGCCTAAAGATTCTGACAATCGCTATTTGTCCACAGACAGCATGTCAATGTTGGCATGGGTGGGAGAGTGAGGGTGGGCAAAGGAAAAAAAGAGATGAAATGACTATGCTTTTTTTTTTTTTAAACTTAGAAGATAAAGATGCAGTGCATGACTCTATTAATAATTACTATAGATCATGAAAGTCTGATTGACTAATATTGGCCATGAGACCAACAGAGTGATAGCAACTACTAATGCAACATTGTGGAACATCAACAACTGAAGGAAACAAACTCCTTACAGTGGAATGAACTAAAATAAAAAGACAACTGAATGGTTAGCTTCTCTTGTGGAGACATGACCAAAGCCACTAGACAGACATTTCTTTCTCCCTATGTTCTTCCCTTAGGTTGGTATAATGCCGGACACTGAGGGAAACTAACCCTCTCCAATACTGGGCTGAAGAAAGTGGAGGGATGGGTTTTCAACTGGATCATTCAAAGAGTTTGTAATTCAGCATCATACACAAAGTTATTGATCAGAATTTTGAGACCACTAACAACGACAGAAAAAAAAAGAAACAAAACAATTCATTTTACCTTAGGTATCTGAATTAATAGAAATATCTCCTATTACAATGTGAAATAAGAGGCAACTCCCCACAATTTAAGTAATTTCTATTCCAATCTGAATTTAGACACAAATTGTACTATTAGATATTAGCCTAAGTTAATATGGCAATGAGAGTTCTTAAAGTGTTTACTCACCACAATACCAGATTCATTTAAAAACTCAACTATTTCCTGTTTTAACTGACAAGGAATTTTTTTTATTGCAAATTGTTTAGTGACTATAACTCAGCCATGTATGTGTGGAATACACATGCGTAGGGGAAGACTATAGAACTCACTTGTCACTCACACACACTTATCTATAAATACATATATACAACACACACATATACATATCAACACCAACTTGTTTTTCAAAATTCAAGTCAACAATTTAGTGGCAGAGAGATGCTGTAAAAACAGGTATTATTTTTAGATGCCACGCCGTCATGAGAACCATTAACTTTATCATACAACTGCAGACACAACCATCTTGAATTCTACCTGGATTAAAGTAGGTCATTTTGTTACCACTGCAAGGTTTAAAATGACCATTCGATACACAAAGGTGGTCCTTCATCAACTCTGAGAACTCTGAGAACCTTACGTTGTAACATAAAAATCCAGTCTGGAAAACTGGTGATTGTTATGCCCCTTCTTTATTTTTTCTGTTAAACCTGCTAAACCTCTGAATCAGCTAAGAAATATTTCCACAGCGTCAGGTATTACCTGAGGAACATAATACCTTCTCTGATGAGGATTTTGGAACATAAGTAGAGCCACTTTTCCTTCCCTCCACACCTCACTCATCTCCTGAAAAACAGT